CCACATGGTGCGAGGAAAAGTCCGTGGAGAGGCCTTCCAATGCCTGGCTAACTGCCTCAGCACGCAACTTATAGTGTGGGAGAAGCTGGGGATCGGAGTGTTGCTGTCTCTTTATAAACTGGGTCATTCTCTTTTGCAGCTGCTCCTTCACGTGAGGAATCCGTAATCTCCGGAGTAACTCCTGGATTGATTCCTTCGTTTCCTGGGAGTAACTCCGCAGGACGAATCTGAGTTGGTACATCATGTGTGAATGGAGCTTTTGCAATCCCTGCTGTGTCACCCCCACCACGTGAAGTGCATACAGGGCAGAGGCCCACGCAGTTATTGTCCAAATCGACAGACGACGTCTGTCTGATAAGACTCGGTGGTTCCGAACTGCATGGGCTACTTCTGACATTGCAAGCTTACTGGATGACAGCCGATGTTTGAGAGTCTTCATTTCATAGTCGTGATAAGAAAGAATGACCCCCAAGTATGGGACCTGATAGCGCAGCGATATCAGCCTGCCCGAAGGGAGTTCAACATACTTCTCTCCCTCGACCTGGCGAAAGAGTTTCTTCCTAATGGTCGAGGCTGAGCCCCCTTGCAGCTGTAGCAGAATTGCTGACTTGGACGGATTGACCTTGAACCCAAGCTCTACCAGCTGATCCAGAAGCATGTCGCAGTACCCTAGTGCTGTCATGAGGCCGGCCTCAGAGTCGAAATGCGACTGGATCAAGCTATCGTCAGCGTACATTGTGAGGAGCTTCACTAGTTCTGCTGGGCTGATTTTCCCCGAGAGCTTCCTAAAGAGAAGCCCTGGTGCAAAGGCGAATAAAGAGGGTGCTAGCTTACATCCCTGCTTGCTTTGATGTGGAGATGGCCTACCACCTCTATCAGAAGAGGATCTGCTTGTTCGGCTTCCAGGGCCTCTCTTAATCGCAGCCTGTTTACAGTGTCAAAAGCTTTGCTCATGTCCACGCTCATGGTGAGACTGCCTCTGAGCTTGAGCCCCTGTTGTCCCTTACCTGCAGCCCTAGTGGTGAGGGCCTGTCTGAACCTGGCCTGGTCCACATGTGTGAGGGCCTTGCAGATAGCCTCCTCTGTGCCCCTGCCTGGGACAAAGCCGAACTGAGAGACGCCGGTCATTGCTAGCTGGAGGGTAGACTTGAGTCTCTTCCTCACGAGTCCGGCTAGGACCTTACCCTCAGGTGCTATCACCCCGATCGGACGGTTGAGGTTGGTTTGTCTGGCTTCTTGGGAGGCTTTGGGAGCCAGGAGATCTGTGACGAGGTGACACTGTCCGAGAGCCTTCCTGCAGTGACTTCCCTATTAAGGGTGTCCGAGATTAGCCGGATTGCTTGGGGACCTAGGGAGCGCCAGGCTACTACGGGAGGACTCTCTTTAGGAACCGCCTTGCCCAGCTTTATTGTGCCAAGCTGTTCTTGCACTTCTTGCTCAGTGATGTGCAGGCTGCCTTGTATCCCTGAAAGCGGGAAGTCATCCCCTGCTCCAAACAGGTCTAGGGAATATTCCTCTAATTGTCTTCTTTCTTCCTTGGCAGTAAGGAAGCGACCCTCAGAATCACGAAGCTGAACTCTTTCCTGGGGCCTCCCCGACCTGAAGCGCTTGATTACCTTGTAAAGGGAATGACTCCCGTCCTGCTTGGACTTAAGCTCTGCCTGCTGGAGTTGTTCATCTATTTCCTGCCGCCGCCGCTCCTGCTTGTGACGCTTTGCTACCCTCGCCTGTGCACTTTGCTGGGAGAACGAGCACCAGCATCGGAACACCATAGGGACCTGCAGCTCGGGCAAGAACTCTGCTAAGACCTTGACTGCTAGTGGGAGTGAGCGCAATGCAGAGCGCTCTTCCCAGATGCTGAGATCTGATCTTTGTGCTGCTTCCTTTCTCTTGGGAAAATGAGTCGCGAGGGCTGAGTTCATTGCTTGATGGAGACTCTGCCAGGTTTGGGGATGATCCTGAAGGAGGGATCGAGTCTACCTCCCTGGCAAATGCCTGTATTTTCGGGGAGCGGTGTCTGTAGCAGTCCTCCATTGCCTGCTGGTCATAGGGTTTTGAGGCTTGGGCGGAGTATCTCCTGCTGTGCCTCAGTTTACCAAGAAGAAGGAAATGCCTACTACCATCCCTCCAGGATGCAACTGAGAAGGTCCTTAGTGGCCGGCAAAACCTGGCGGGGCCTTAGGACTGTGCAATCCTGACAAACGAGAAGTCAATCTGTGAAACAGAATTGCCTTGTTCGTGGGTGGCTGGTCTACGCACTCCCCAAGTGTTGGTTGCGACTAGCTGGTGCTCCGACAATAGGGTCTGGAGATCCTTAGATCCGCGATGCCCGAGTCTGCAAGCCTGGATCGTGCATGGCCCTACGTGTTTGTTGTCGGTTTTGAGCGAGGAGTTAAAATCTCCTAGCACAAGGAGAGTGTTGCGATTGGGAACAGCTCGGATGGACTTACTTAGGGCGTGAAGGGTCTGCTTCCGGGTTTCCTTATTCTGAGCGACTGTCTCCTTAGAGCGCCAAACGTATTGATAGCAGCTGAAGACGTCCAGTGAGATGCCGTTGCTCGGCACCCGGACCTGGAGAACTCTTCCTGGAACAACCTCGTTGTAGCGAAGATCCTGTGACTTGCACAGCGTGGAGTGCACCATTATGAGGACCCCGGCTCCCTTCTCCCCTGTGGAACCAGAGCTGATCACGTGCCAGCCTGACTTGCTGAATTGCCAAGAACCCCTCCAGTGTGTTTCCTGAATTGCTACCAGCTTCACATCCTGAAATGCGGCACTTTGCAGTACGGAGAGTAACTCTTCCCAAACTGCTGTTGTGAGAGATCCTGCGTTCCAGGATAGATAGCTGAGATTCTTATCTTCTGTAAATTTTGAAGGCCGAGTCCTTCTGCCGGGATTGGTGGGCTTTACATGTGCCGGAGCAACTCCAAGCTCTGTTGACGACATCGTCCTTCCCTTGTAGACCGCACTACCTTCAAGCAGAGCTTTACGTGCTGCCCTTTGATAAGAGCGTTTACCCTTCCCTTTAGGAACGGGCTGATGCTTGGTCGAACCACTAGGCTGTTTCGCAGCACTCATGTTGAGTACGGCTCCTGTCGGCTTCGCAATACCGACAACCCTCACCTCTGGGAGATGTTAGAGAGCTGTAAATCTAATACTCCCTCCCGGACTTGGGACCGGGACTGCTCAGGCGCTGACAAATGCCATGGCAAGAAAGGAAAAAGGCAACTGTACTAGCCTGACCTTTCCTGAGCCGAGAGGCTTACAACAACAACAACAACACCAACACCAACACCAACACCAACACCAACACCAACAACAACACCAACAACACCAACAACACCAACAACACCAACAACACCAACAACACCAACAACACCAACAACACCAACACCACCACCACCACCACCACCACCAACAATTTTTCAATTGAACGCTGTGCGAGCGGGCTCAGCACATAGCGGGCGATTGCCGCGGTGCACTTTGCAGCAGAGCAGCAGCGACCGGCGGCAGGCGAGAGCTTGTTTTTCCAAACTGACAGCTGCGGCATCCGGCAAAAGGGCTGTCAGTCCTTTCCGGAAGAGACAAAGGAAAAGCAGGCACCCGCCACCTTATCCATCTTACTCACTCAGTACTTCGCAGGCAAAGTTCAGCATCTGGCGGGTCCTAACACACATGCTCTTGCTCAAACTTCGCACAATCGTTCAGTGCAAACAAAGGCTGAACACCTGAGAGCTTGCAGAAGTGCGAGATTTCCAGATCCGTGTTTCAATACAGGTCGAATGGAGCAAAAGGTTTGTGCTGTATGGTTTGCAGTTTCAGGCTCTGGAAGGTGTGTGCACGTGTGTGCGTGTGTGCAAAGCCTTGTGGACGCGTTTGGGCTCCGATTCGGCTCAGCTTGCTTGGTAGGCGCTTTCCCTCTTTGCAGCTGTCATGGACGCTTACGCTTTGAAGCGCTTCAACAGATTGAAGAAGGCCGCGAAGTTGAGCCAGGCAGACTTGGTGGAGTTACTCCGTGTCAAGAAAGCGCAGGTTCATCAAGAGCTCCGAAAGTCAAAGCCGCAGCGGCGCCTCCGCTTTGAAGTCTGCACCTTCTTCCTTCTCCGACTGAGCAGGATGCAGGTCGCCGTTTCACGAGTGTGTACAGAACGGACCTCGTGAAACGGCAGGATGGTGATATGAGGGCCCAAAACAAGGGCCGTAAACGCTTTCTGGAATGGGTTTTGCAGGCTGGCCCTCCAGCGTTGCTGTCCTTACTTGTGTGCCTCTCATGCTGTTGGCTTTCACACAAACTGTTGCTGCTCTTACTTGTGTGCCTCTCATGCTGTTAGTTGTGTTTTCAGACAAATGTACGACCGGAGCAAGCTTGGCAGTCAAAGTTTCCTTGCGAAGTGAGAGAGATGTTGCTGCCAGTGGCCGCTGCCCTGAATCATGGATGCGTCGGCCTGTATGCGTCGTGAAATCCGGCGCTTACAAGAGCAGCAGCGGCGTGCCCGCGTTGTGCAAGCGCGCTTGGGCTTGACAAGAACAGATCGTCTGGTGGCCGTGGGATGTTGCACTCAGAGCAATTACAACCTGCCTTTGGCGATTACTTTTGTTAAGCAACGTGCCCCGACATCGTGGCTGCCGTTCACAGAGCATCCAGAAACCCGCGCAGAAGCAGCTGCGCTCACGTGTGGAAAAGTTTTTGGCAGAGTGCGCAACTGTCAATTTCATCAAAACGTGCAATTTCACGAATGGCTACGCCCCAAGCTCGAGTGAAGTCGCATCACAGTTTGTCGAGACCTTGCGAGGACGCGAGGAGCTGGCGACCCACCAAGGCTTGGAACATGCTTCGCGCTGGCAGCGACGTTGGTGCTCTCGGTTTTGTGGTCGCTGGGGGCTTCGCCTCCGAAGTCTTGGCCACATCGCGACTCCGAAACGCATCTTCGTGCCAAGGCCAGGCTTGAAAGATGGCTTGTTTTGACTAGTGTAGCGTCGTTCATGAAGTGCATGTCCGCATGCTTACTCTGCTCCCGTCACCTGTGGCCAACTCCAGACACATGACGGTGGCCGCCGGCCTCCGAGCCCGCTGTTGGGGTCATTTTCTGACCCTTTTTTTCGGGGTCGTTTTCTGGCTCCTTTTCGGTGGCATTTTGAGTGCGGTGTCGACTGCCGCATGTGGAAAGGGCCCCACTCGTGGCCAGTTTTCGGGCCCAAGTTCCGTTCAGGTTTTGACCCCTGTTTCGGGGCCCAAGAAATTGTCTTGTCCGCTGACCTTCAGGTGAGCGGCTTCTGGGAATGGTGCTTGCACCTCAGGCAGACGGCGGCATCTTATGGACGCGAACCCATCTTCATCAACATTGATGAGTCCTCGATGCTTCAGTTTTGCAAAGCCAAGCGAGGGGTTTGCATCCGGCGTTCTGATTGGCCTGCTGGAAAAGTACCCTGTGGGCCTCGGAAGCCGCCCCGCAACACGGCGACACTGCTGGCCATGATATCAAGCGAAGGCACGCTGCAGAAGTGCCTCCCTCAAATCCTCATTGGCAACGAGCGGTGCTTTCCGCGACGGTTGCTATTGAGTGCCCAAACAGCGTCAGCAGCCACAACTGTACAGTATTGGCGGCGGAAGTCTTCGTGGGTTAATGGCCCGGTCATGGTTCAGGCTCTGGAGGAGTTGGCCAAGGCGCTGGGACCACTGCGCCTGTCGGACAGCAAGCCGATTGTCATCGTATGGGATTGCTGCCGCGTTCACTTGACAGAAGAAGTTTTGACAGCATGTAAAAGGTTGCATTTTGGGCTTCGTTTTGTGCCAACGCACATTACATCTCTTCTGCAGCCGCTGGACACTTGTGTTTTCGGCCCGCTAAAGCAACGAATGCGACGACGGTACGCAGAAGCCATGCGCGGCAGCGGCTGCGTCTCAGTGGCGCAGTGGCTACAGCTCTTGCAAGAAGTGACAGTGACGATGCTATCAGAACGAAGCTGGCAGAAGTCATTTCGTTCGGTAGGCATCTCCGGCTCAGCGCCTCTCAGCGCAGACCTCCAGCATTTGGGCATCGAGTACCCGTTGCCAGAGCCTGGACGTGTGCTTTCTTTGGCTTCTGCCTCCGGGCAGCGACAGCAAGTGTGAGTTGTTGTTGAACTGTCCCAGGGTGCGTTTCCTGACCTAGCTTCCTGCAAAGCAGAAGGAGCCAGCAGAATCCGCAATTGTCGAAAGGAGGGTGCGAACCGTTGCTGTCCTTACTTGTGTGCCTCTCATGCTGTTGGCTTTCACACAAACTGTTGCTGCTCTTACTTGTGTGCCTCTCATGCTGTTAGTTGTGTTTTCAGACAAATGTACGACCGGAGCAAGTTTGGCAGTCAAAGTTTCCTCGCGAAGTGAGAGAGATGTTGCTGCCAGTGGCCGCTGCCCTGAATCATGGATGCGTTGGCCTGTGTGCGTCGTGAAATCCGGCGCTTACAAGAGCAGCAGCGGCGTGCCCGCTGTGTGCAAGCGCGCTTGGGCTTGACAAGAACAGATCGTCTGGTGGCCGTGGGATGTTACACTCAGAGCAATTACAACCTGCCTTTGGCGATTACTTTTGTTAAGCAACGTGCCCCGACATCGTGGCTGCCGTCCACAGACACGGAACTTGGCGAAGTGCTGGAAAACTGGTTTGTGGAAACGTCTGAGGCCACCATTGTGGCATTCGAGTATCCAGAAAACCGCGCGCAGAAGCAGCTGCGCTCACGTGTGGAAAAGTTTTTGGCAGAGTGCGCAACTGTCAATTTCATCAAAACGTGCAATTTCACGAATGGCTACGCCCCAAGCTCGAGTGAAGTCGCATCACAGTTTGTCGAGACCTTGCGAGGACGCGAGGAGCTGGCGACCCACCAAGGCTTGGAACATGCTTCGCGCTGGCAGCGACGTTGGTGCTCTCGGTTTCGTGGTCGCTGGGGGCTTCGCCTCCGAAGTCTTGGGCCACATCGCGACTCCGAAACGGATCTTCGTGCCAAGGCCAGGCTTGAAAGGCTGCAGCTGCTTGTCCGGCAATGTGTTGTGTGCACAGTTCGTTGTTTGCTTGTTTGTCTGCTGCTGGTTTGTTTCGTGCATGGCTTGTTTTGACTAGTGTAGCGTCGTTCATGAAGTGCATGTCCGCATGCTTACTCTGCTCCCGTCACCTGTAGCCAACTCCAGACACATGACGGTGGCCGCCGGCCTCCGAGCCCGCTTTTGGGGTCATTTTCTGACCCTTTTTTCGGGGGTCATTTTCTGGCCCCTTTTCGGTGGCATTTTGAGTGCGGTGTCGACTGCCGCATGTGGAAAGGGCCCCACTCGTGGCCAGTTTTCGGGCCCAAGTTCCGTTCAGGTTTTGACCCCTGTTTCGGGGCCCGAGAAATTGTCGCGTCTTGTCCGCTGACCTTCAGGTGAGCGGCTTCTGGGAATGGTGCTTGCACCTCAGGCAGACGGCGGCATCTTATGGACGCGAACCCATCTTCATCAACATTGATGAGTCCTCGATGCCTCAGTTTTGCAAAGCAAGCGAGGGGTTTGCATCCGGCGTTCTGATTGGCCTGCTGGAAAAGTACCCTGTGGGCCTCGGAAGCCGCCCCGCAACACGGCGACACTGCTGGCCATGATATCAAGCGAAGGCACGCTGCAGAAGTGCCTCCCTCAAATCCTCATTGGCAACGAGCGGTGCTTTCCGCGACGGTTGCTATTGAGTGCCCAAACAGCGTCAGCAGCCACAACTGTACAGTATTGGCGGCGGAAGTCTTCGTGGGTTAATGGCCCGGTCATGGTTCAGGCTCTGGAGGAGTTGGCCAAGGCGCTGGGACCACTGCGCCTGTCGGACAGCAAGCAGATTGTCATCGTATGGGATTGCTGCCGCGTTCACTTGACAGAAGAAGTTTTGACAGCATGTAAAAGGTTGCATTTTTGGCTTCTTTTTGTGCCAACGCACATTACATCTCTTCTGCAGCCGCTGGACACCTGTGTTTTCGGCCCGCTAAAGCAACGAATGCGACGACGGTACGCAGAAGCCATGCGCGGCAGCGGCTGCGTCTCAGTGGCGCAGTGGCTACAGCTCTTGCAAGAAGTGACAGTGACGATGCTATCAGAACGAAGCTGGCAGAAGTCATTTCGTTCGGTAGGCATCTCCGGCTCAGCGCCTCTCAGCGCAGACCTCCAGCATTTGGGCATCGAGTACCCGTTGCCAGAGCCTGGACGTGTGCTTTCTTTGACAAAGCTTCTGCCTCCGGGCAGCGACAGCAAGTGTGAGTTGTTGTTGAACTGTCCCAGGGTGCGTTTCCTGACCTAGCTTCCTGCAAAGCAGAAGGAGCCAGCAGAATCCGCAATTGTCGTAAGGAGGGTGCGAACGTTGCTGTCCTTACTTGTGTGCCTCTCATGCTGTTGGCTTTCACACAAACTGTTGCTGCTCTTACTTGTGTGCCTCTCATGCTGTTAGTTGTGTTTTCAGACAAATGTACGACCGGAGCAAGTTTGGCAGTCAAAGTTTCCTCGCGAAGTGAGAGAGATGTTGCTGCCAGTGGCCGCTGCCCTGAATCATGGATGCGTTGGCCTGTGTGCGTCGTGAAATCCGGCGCTTGCAAGAGCAGCAGCGGCGTGCCCGCGTTGTGCAAGCGCGCTTGGGCTTGACAAGAACAGATCGTCTGGTGGCCGTGGGATGTTACACTCAGAGCAATTACAACCTGCCTTTGGCGATTACTTTTGTTAAGCAACGTGCCCCGACATCGTGGCTGCCGTCCACAGACACGGAACTTGGCGAAGTGCTGGAAAACTGGTTTCTGGAAACGCCTGAGGCCACCATTGTGGCATTCGAGTATCCAGAAACCCGCGCGCAGAAGCAGCTGCGCTCACGTGTGGAAAAGTTTTTGGCAGAGTGCGCAACTGTCAATTTCATCAAAACGTGCAGTTTCACGAATGGCTACGCCCCAAGCTCGAGTGAAGTCGCATCACAGTTTGTCGAGACCTTGCGAGGACGCGAGGAGCTGGCGACCCACCAAGGCTTGGAACATGCTTCGCGCTGGCAGCGACGTTGGTGCTCTCGGTTTCGTGGTCGCTGGGGGCTTCGCCTCCGAAGTCTTGGGCCACATCGCGACTCCGAAACGGATCTTCGTGCCAAGGCCAGGCTTGAAAGGCTGCAGCTGCTTGTCCGGCAATGTGTTGTGTGAGAACACAGTTCGTTGTTTGCTTGTTTGTCTGCTGCTGGTTTGTTTCGTGCATGGCTTGTTTTGACTAGTGTAGCATCGTTCATGAAGTGCATGTCCGCATGCTTACTCTGCTCCCGTCACCTGTAGCCAACTCCAGACACATGACGGTGGCCGCCGGCCTCCGAGCCCGCTTTTGGGGTCATTTTCTGACCCTTTTTTCGGGGTCATTTTCTGGCCCCTTTTCGGTGGCATTTTGAGTGCGGTGTCGACTGCCGCATGTGGAAAGGGCCCCACTCGTGGCCAGTTTTCGGGCCCAAGTTCCGTTCAGGTTTTGACCCCTGTTTCGGGGCCCGAGAAATTGTCGCGTCTTGTCCGCTGACCTTCAGGTGAGCGGCTTCTGGGAATGGTGCTTGCACCTCAGGCAGACGGCGGCATCTTATGGACGCGAACCCATCTTCATCAACATTGATGAGTCCTCGATGCCTCAGTTTTGCAAAGCCAAGCGAGGGGTTTGCATCCGGCGTTCTGATTGGCCTGCTGGAAAAGTACCCTGTGGGCCTCGGAAGCCGCCCCGCAACACGGCGACACTGCTGGCCATGATATCAAGCGAAGGCACGCTGCAGAAGTGCCTCCCTCAAATCCTCATTGGCAACGAGCGGTGTTTTCCGCGACGGTTGCTATTGAGTGCCCAAACAGCGTCAGCAGCCACAACTGTGCAGTATTGGCGGCGGAAGTCTTCGTGGGTTAATGGCCCGGTCATGGTTCAGGCTCTGGAGGAGTTGGCCAAGGCGCTGGGACCACTGCGCCTGTCGGACAGCAAGCAGATTGTCATCGTATGGGATTGCTGCCGCGTTCACTTGACAGAAGAAGTTTTGACAGCATGTAAAAGGTTGCATTTTTGGCTTCTTTTTGTGCCAACGCACATTACATCTCTTCTGCAGCCGCTGGACACCTGTGTTTTCGGCCCGCTAAAGCAACGAATGCGACGACGGTACGCAGAAGCCATGCGCGGCAGCGGCTGCATCTCAGTGGCGCAGTGGCTACAGCTCTTGCAAGAAGTGACAGTGACGATGCTATCAGAACGAAGCTGGCAGAAGTCATTTCGTTCGGTAGGCATCTCCGGCTCAGCGCCTCTCAGCGCAGACCTCCAGCATTTGGGCATCGAGTACCCGTTGCCAGAGCCTGGACGTGTGCTTTCTTTGACAAAGCTTCTGCCTCCGGGCAGCGACAGCAAGTGTGAGTTGTTGTTGAACTGTCCCAGGGTGCGTTTCCTGACCTAGCTTCCTGCAAAGCAGAAGGAGTGTTCAGCCTCTGTTTGCACTGAACGCGACTATTGTGCGAAGTTTGAGCAAGAGCATGTGTGTTAGGACCCGCAAGATGCTGAACTTTGCCTGCGAAGTACTGAGTGAGTGAGGTGGGTGAGGTGGCGGGTGAGGTGGGTGAGGTGAGTGAGGTGTGAGTGCGGTGAGTGAGGTGAGTGAGGTCAGTGGTGAGTGGGTCAGTGCCGGAAAGGGCTTTACAAACAATTTTCCAAATGCAGTGGTACGGAACGCGCGGCTTTTGAAACGTGGCCTATGAAATGCAAAACTGCTGTGAAGCATTTGCTAAACACTGGAAGAAAGGGCCAAAAAGAAGAAGAACTTGCCGGAAAGGCTTTACAAGCAATTTTCCAAATGCAGTGGTACGGACTCTGCGGCTTTTGAATTGAGGCCTATGAAATGCAAAACGGCTGTGAAACACTTGCTAAACACTGGAAGAAATGGCCAAAAGGAAGAAGAATTTGCCGGAAAGGCGTTACAAACAATTTTCCAGATGCAGTGGTACGGAACGCGCGGCTTTTGAAACGTGGCCTATGAAATGCAAAACTGCTGTGAAAAGCATTTGCTAAACACTGGAAGAAAGGGCCAAAAACAAAAAGAACTTGCCGGAAAGGCGTTACAAGCAATTTTCCAAATGCAGTGGTACGGACTCTGCGGC